CCGAAAATCCCGATTTATTCAAAATCGCACAAATCTCCCAATTTATTCTTTTATATATATTCAAATATTATGTCTAAGCCATTAAAATCGAGATCTAGTTATTATACCTTAAAACGACTCGGATCGGGAGGACCGAAAATAGATCGGGTAAGAACAAGAGTCCAAGAAACAAATCGGATCTAATCTTGAGCTGAGGGGCTTGATACTTGCTGCTGAAAGTCACGAAACTGAACTCACGGGTCAGGTCTGAAGCTGGTACGCTCGCGTGAACAGAAGAGCTCGCGATTTCCGGCGTGAACTCGCCGGAATCGGGCCTGGGATGGCGGAGCTGCCAGCTGAACGGAAGCTGGTCGCGAACTTGCTGATGTCGGCCGGCTCGGAGGTATTGGTTCGCGGGGAAAAGGTGAGCTCGTGTGAGGTCGCGCGAGCTTGGACTGAGGCGCGGAAAGTCGCCGGAAAACGCGAGCTAGGGTCGCGATTTCCGACGGGGCAGAGCTTGACTGCGGATCTGCTGGTTTTGGTTGCGCGTGGAGGAGCTGGTCGCGGTTTGGTTGCGCGTGGAGGAGATGGGAACGAAGCTGCTGCGAAGCTGGTTCGGTGGATGGCGACCTGCGGGCTGGATGAGCTCGCCGGAAGGAGGATGACGGGGCGAGGTGCTGCGCGGGGACGAGCTGAGGAGGAGCTCGTGACGACGGGCTGAGGAGCTGGTCTGTTCGTGAGGGAGTTGCTCGCAGAATTTCGCCGGCGGGACCGAGCTCGGGCTGAGGAGGAGCTGCGGGTTTCACCAGAAAAGGGAGGAACTCGCCGGAAAAAGAGAGGGGTAGCCGGAAATAGGAAGGTGACGAAGCTTAAGCAATGGTCTTGGTGAAGATGATGAAGTTTTTTGGTGTTCTTTCTTGAGCTTTAATGGAGGATGAAGTAGATCTTGAAATGAAGATGGTGTAGTGAGGGAGATGATGAATAGTAATATAGAGGGAGGCTAGGGTTTGTGTTGGGAAAAAGGGGGACAATTCTATTTATAGCATGTGTAGAAGACTTAGGGTTTTCTCCTTGTTGGGCTTTTATCGGGCTTAAGATAGTCGGGCCTAAAATCCTACGAGCTGGGCTCGAATATAAATCGAATATGAACTTAAGAAATTAAATGCGCGGGCTTGCTAAATAATATTAATCGAACTAGGATTAATTAAATTAGTCGGTCGAAA